GATTTTGATTTCAATTTTAAAAATAAACAGAGATATTCAGAGTTCTTGTGAAATTTGTTTGTATTTCTTCTGTTAGTATATTTGTGAAGGTTATATATGTCTAAGTTTTATGATCTTGTAGATTTTTTTAATTTTAATGGAAAGCTTGTTATTTCCAAATCATTCAAATGGATGCGTCGTTCAACAAACAGCATAATGTTTCCAACAGGAAGATGTTGTCTTAACAAGCCTCAAGTTTTCTGTTACTTAAAATGATGGTGTTGTTCTCTACATCTTTACTGTTTTATGTGTGGTTTGAGAAAGAACAACTATAAAATCCTGATGTAAAGAAATAGGAGCTGGATGTGATGAGCATGCTAAAAGCATCCAGTATCAAGAATTTTTCTTGTTCAGTTTTGGCAAAGTCACAAAGTCTTAGAAACATTGTCTTTATGGGTTTTCTGCCTGGAAGCAGAATTAAGCATGAAAAGACAAAATTAGCTTGTTTTTTTTTTTTTTTTTTTTTACCACAACCCTAGACTGTTGCAAGCCAGTATCTGAGGTTTGCATCATGATGGATGTGACGTGGTAAAAATATTCAACCATTAAAAATTCCCATTTTGCACAACAGTTTCCCCTTCAACTATACGACAAATAATTGTAGCATTCGTGATTTTCTCCTGTTAGATGTTGGCAAAAAAAAATTTGTTTCAACTGGACTTAAATCAGAAGTTCCACATATTTACCCATCTGCTCTGCTCAGTGAAAAGTCTCAGTTCTAGAGACACCATCTCAGGGCATTTTTTTTTTTTTTTTTTATCACATCTGTCACAGGAATGTGACAGACACATTGCTCCAAGTGCTGGCTGTTGCCAGAGGCAGAAAAAAATGCTCTCAAGGCTGTGATCAGCCGCAAGGTATAACAGAAAAGCGAGTCTCTCGGTTGTGACTCATGCTGCTCAAATGTCTCAAGCGTCAAGTCCTTTGTGATTTTGAGCGTTATTCTACACATAGTGAAAGTCCATTTGTATCAAGCAAAAGCTGGGGAAATACAAGCAGCACAGAGGAAAACAGCACATCTTCCTCAAACATTAATTTCAATTATTTAATCATATATATTTTTACCGTGTTAAAAATATTAATGTAATTATCTGCGTCAGTTTTTTTTTTTTTTTTTTTTACATGCAAAGGTTCTGGCCGGAAACAGCAGCAGTCTTGGCCCATTGAGGGTTAACTTTTGCTGTTTGATAGGATGCTGGAAAAGACTATTGTTGTTTGCGAGTGGGGAAAATCAGAGCATCCAAAAATATAATCACAACGTAGCGCATGCTGCAGCAAGCACAGACATCCCAACGCTAGAGTCCACAGTCCACATTTCAAAAGAGGTATTTCTTTGAATAATTTCCATGAATTATCATCGGATCCTGAAACACGTGAAAGCCGAATGCGTGTAATTTTACTCTGCACATTGATGGCTGAATAAGCTAAATACCGTATTTTTCGATCTGTACTGCCGGATCGATAGCCTTCAACTTAAAAGCTGCATCTTATGAACTTCTTTGTGTGGTTTCCATGATGAGGGGTTATGAGTTTGAAGAAATTTCTCAGTCGTGCCTGCTGTTAGCATGTGCTAAATGAAAATTAGCACTTTCTTCTTTGATTTCCAATTTTGACTTCCAACGATTCACTTCCCGCTAAAGAGCCCCCCCTGGCGGTTGAAGAAAAATCCACAGAAAAGACGCACCTGGCTATAAACCGAATGGTTCAAAGTGTGGGGAAAAAGTCGCGGCTTATATTACCAAAAAATACGGTAATAGATTAATCTACAGAGTTCGTAATATAAAATCTGAATAGTTTATCAAGGTTGCATGGCTGTTATGTTTACAAAAAGTATCAGAAAAGTCTTTATGGGAAAAAGAAACAATTCTGTAAACATTTAAAATTTTAACAAAGCATCTCTGTGAAATTATTAAACTAAAACAAGTGGAAATTCTTGATTAAAAAAAAAGATATATACATGAATGTAGTGCAATAGATACGTACAATGTATTCATTCATGATGACTCGCTTGAAAGCATTAACTTTGAAAAACTAATTACAGAAAAATAATATATTTTTTAAAAATTGTGTTAATGTGCTTTGAAAATGCAAATGACACAGTGTTTAAATAATAAATATCAAATGTAAAAGGGCAAGTGATGATGAGAGAGTTAATTAATAAACAGTGCACGATACAAGAAAAGTGGGAATTTTTTTTTTTGAGAGGATACTTTATATTTACAGAGCTTCAACATTTAAAACCTAAAATTAGAGAATATCTGTGGTGGTATGGGGCCTGCAGACAAGATAAGAAAACTATCAGATGAAAATGTGATCACATCTCATGCCAGAGGGCTCTCAATCCAGATGTTTTATCTTTGCTTTTATTTCCACCTTTTAGATAATAATACTGTATTTAGACTCATTGGAGAGGAATGTTAAGAAAAAATACATTTCATATAGAGAAAATGTAACAGCCGCTGTATGTTAAAGGTAGTAAGAACCAGAGCATCATAGGATAACTACAGTATAACAGTTCTTAATAAACCAAGACAGATTCCTTTGTTAGTGTATAGATTACTTTTCATTTATGACTATTATAGACTTATTCATTTAAAAAATGCTCAAATTGAATAACTTTTCTTATTTTGTAATACATCGTTTTTTGAAAAAAAAAATGTGATTAATCACAATTAGCTAAACATAAAGCCTCTTATTAATTAGATTCTTTTAATCGCATCCAACCACTACTTGCTTCTTTTTTTATGTTAGACCTTTGCCTGTCGTATTTCTTTTTGCGGAGACACACTGGACTCCCACTGGGACTGCTGTTTAGTCTCCTGCTGATTCCTGTCACTGCTTATTTATCTTTGCACTTTTAAAACAGATGAAGACTGAATATTTCTTCAAAAGCTGCAGAATAGCCGAGAGCACGGGATCCCTTGGAAACCGGCAGTCATTTAGGCTGACAGGCACTTTACAAGACGGACTCAGTGGCTCCATGTGGACCACAGCTCATAAAAACATTCTCTAAATTAACACAATAGATTTGAGGCTGCCAAAGAAGCACTCCCTAATGAAACGTGTACACTGTTTGCAGCAGCTGAATTCTGCATTAACACATTTATTTCAGACTAGAAGAAAAATGCAACTTACGCTCAGCAATAATAAGAGGAGGATAGAAGAGGAAGTAGCCCACCAGCTCAGCAGAAAACTGACCAAGAAGGTTGGAGGCAACTGTTCCGTTGAGAAATACAGTCCCGTTCTTTACAGTGTAGACTAAAGACACAGCAGGAGAGCCTGGTGTCTGAGAAACACTCAGAATCTAATAAAAGATGGGGGAAAAAAACCCAGATATCAGTTTAGCAAGAAAACAAGATGCAGACGTAGGAAACGACAGAAGCAAATGGGAAAAAAACGGAACAGTTATCTATAAAAGCGTTTTATTTAAACGCGTCAGTGTCAAATTAGCTTTAATACATGGTGCACTTTAATGTGACAGCGCATTAAAATGAATACAAACAGAGGTTCACTGGCATAATTACCATGCATCTGAAAAGCAGCCGGTGAAAAAAAATAAATAAAAAACAGAAACACCCCAATTCACGAGGGGAGAATTTTGCACAAATGGTGAGCAATTTGCATTTGTTTGAAGCTGCCAAATCTTATAAAACGCCAGATGACTAACAGTAGCAGAGCAGCCCAGCCCGGGCGAATTAAGGTCGCCGCATTACCTGAACTGCCAGTCGGCTTTTAGCGTTGAGAACTTTGGCCTGCGCCTCAGAAAAGACCTTCTCAAGTCTCTGTTCCATCATTTGCAAGAAGCGACAGGATCGGGGGTCATCACCTGCCCCCACAAACTGCAACACTGCAACACAAAGAATGGCACAATGTAAGACTTGGCTTAGACGTACTGTGTGTTATAAACTTTACATTATGCACACGTAATGTGTCAATTTATGTGTGTGGTGTGACAAACAAGCATTTTTTTTCCCCTCTCTTTGCAGGGTAAAATCACAGCAGGGGGGAAAAAAACACTGTAAAGTCTCAAGCTGATCTGTGACACACTCGTTTTCACCCTGAGTGAGAGTCGGCTGACCTGTTTTAAGCTGGAAGCCAGTGGCGGGGCTGGATCTCCACAAAGCAACAGGAAGAGGCAGGGCTGTCACCATGGGGAGGTACTGTCGCAGGTCTGCAATCAGCTTGTCACGGCCGTAGGACATCAAACCCTCTGCTACTACAGAGGGAGGGTAAACTGTCTCCCCTCCTGTCACGTGATAAGCCACCGTCATGTTGGGAGAGCCAAACACCGTCTCCACCTGAGATAGTGGAGTTAAAAAAAA